TCCTCCATAGATACTCATGTCCCTCACCTGCTGAATGAATATGCTCATCATCATTTTGTATATATCTTGTCCTCATTATGTATCCTTTGTCTTGCATCTGTATCTTTAAAGTTATATTGAGTTAGTCCAGTTCCAGATTTCTTTTTGTGGCACAACATTTGTCATGCATTTTTTTTGATGTTGCAGTAGATGAAGCTCCTATTGGCCACTTTTAGGGCTTGGCAGGATATCATTTCCCCCACTTTGGTGACTGGAAATGATTCTCTGAAACTTATTGGCTTGGGATGTAGGGCAGATTGGAACCTGGCACTGTCCTCATCATTTGGCACATGTCATGTCTGATCAGTGCTTCCCAAAAGGCCTGATGGGTCTCAAACAGGTTCCTCTTTTGACAATGTGAAACCTATTTTTAAACTGTTTTATCTAGACTGAAGGTTGATTTAAACTAGGAAAGAGTGCAGGTTCTGCCAAATGTATTGCCAGTTCTGTCACCCTTGGATGAATTATTGGTTTCTGTTGCTTCAGGCAAGAGGCCATTCTTACGGCCATACTTTTTTAATGGATTTGTTCTGCATATTCCCTTTTGGTTTCATGGCTGATCTTCGGCTTCTTTCAGGCACTGTTGGCCATCAGGACAGAACTGGACTTGTAGGCAGCATTGGCATTGTCTTAAGCCCTACTAGCCAGAGACAGAACTCTGCCTTGTTGACTACCTTGCAGCCTGTCAGTCGGCTTTTTATGGAGCAGATATAATGTTCTTTCTGTCAGTCAGGCAACTGACAGTTGCCATTCCAAGCCCCATCTTCCCCCCACCCCAATACCATTTATTAAGAAGAGCAGTTGTTTTTGGAGGAAAACAAAGGCAACGGTGGGAGGGGGAATCCATCCAGCTCTCTATCAGTTGTCCCCCCCCCCCTTTAAAGCAGCCGCATTCCTCATTCATTCTGTGGCAGAGGAGGGCTCGATCATCTGGGCAGCCATTGCTCCGTCAAGTACACTTGTCTGCGAGTCAAGATTGGGCGGGTCACTTTAATCGCGGGCCATTTGTCTTGCGCCCTTTGCCTTTTCCCCTCCCACGATTTGGAGCCCGCCGTCCTTTTCAGGCTACTCTTGACTTCGCGGGTGAGTTCACGGGCTACTCAATCCTTAGCCACGTGGAAGCCAACGACACCGTGGATAGTATTTGGGGAAAGGGGGGACGGGGGTGGGGGAGCAGGCAGAGTTCAGGCGGAAACTGGATTCCTGCGGCTCTCGGTCTCTTCCAAAAACCCACCCCGCGTGGAAGGAAGGTCTGCAGACGGAGGTTGGCCGAACCGGCTCCGGCGCCCGCCTCTTCTTCAGAAGGGGCAAGCCGTGTCACGCACCGGCGGAGCGTGTGTGTGTGTGGTGGTGGGGGGGGACAGAATGAAAAGGCACGACCAGCAGCCCCGCGGTCACCTGCTCCAAGGAGCCGAGGGAGGCGGAGCCTGAGGGAGAAGTCCCCTTCCGTTTTACAAACCAAAACGCCGTGCCCGCCGGAGAGATCCCGCGCGCCTCGGAAAGAGAGAGAAAGCGACAGCGTACCGGCGGCCGAGCTCCGTCTCTCAGAGCGCGAGTCACCCACGGGGGAGGGGGGGGAGAGCGACCGCTACGCTCAAGAAACCTCGGGGAGTGTCCGGGAGGGGCTGAGGGAGTTCCACACATGCACACCTTGAGTGGTGCCCAGACACCGCACGAGACGCACGCACGAGACGCCATACATACACACGCTCACACACACACACACACACACATATTCGCGCACGGCTAGACGAGCGCGGGCGGCTTACACACCCCAGCGAGAGGGCGCGTGTGGAATCCGAGCTCTCAGCATCCAAGCCTTCCCTGCTTTGCCTCTCCCTCTGTCTGTCTGTCTGTCTGTCTGTGTTTCCTCTCCAGTCCCACGCGCTTTCTGGGTCCTCTTGTCTCCCCTCCCCTTTCCTTCCCAGCCCTCCCACCCCCCACCTCTTTGCTCTCAAACTCTGCCTCCCCGAGCCCTGAAAAAATGCCTGCCCGTGAAGCGAGGAGAGGGCACCGGGTCTGTAAATAAGAAGTGAGTACTCGTACAATGGCGCGTCTCGCTGGCTCGGAAAAAGAAAAAAAAAAATCCGGCTGCCTAGGGAAAAAAAAATGCTGCATGTTCCTTTGCTTTTGCCGATGCATCTTCGCTCTAGGGCAAAGGAAGCCCCCACCCCTATCCCCAGGTCCTACCTTCTTCATTGCAGGCGAACCCCGTTTTGCCCACCCACTGCCTTTCTCTCCCTCCCCCACCCCCTCCCGCTTCGCCATCCCTATTGCACGGGCTCTAACTGCTGCATGCAACACCTTGGCTCAAAAGCTCTGGGTTACACTTCACCTTTGTTCGCGGGGTTCTTAAGCTTTGGGTGACGGGGAAAAGCGGGGGCGGGCGGGTGGAAGGTAAGGAGGCTTTCTATTTTGAAGGCTCAAGCAAAAAAAAAAAAAAAGAGGTGATATTGTTATTAAAATCAGAATTATAATAATAAAAAAATGGGGCTTTTCCCAACTCGTTGCCTGTTATCCTTGCGGTCGTAGGAGGAAGATGTGCACTGACGCTGTTGACTGATTTCAAGAGCATCTCTTTGGGTGGTGGTGGTTGCTTCTTGTTAAAAAAAAAACATAAGAAAGGGAAGAAGAAAGGATGGGGTTTAATTTTCTTTCAAACATCCACAGGATTGGGAAAGCTTATTCCTCTGTGTGTGTGTGTGTGTGTGTTGCCTGTGTGTGAAATGGAACCTTGAATCTTGGCTGAGTGGGAAAGCTTCCTATGAGCTAAAAGGAAACAGGGAAGAGTGTGTAGTAGCACCAATTAGAAGAGTGCAAGAGGAAGACACTTTATGCTGCCATCCCGTTCCCATTGTTAGCTGCATGCAGCTTCCTTAAAGGGGAGTGAATTAAGGTAACTTGGGAACTGCACTTACCTGGGATGCCAAGATTTCCTTGGGACTGTGGGCATACATTGCATCTGAGACAAGAGGGGGGCGCTATTGTTATCGCTATGATAAATCACTGTTAAAAAGAGAACAGCAGGTGTAGGTGAATAGAGGAGGGGTTGTTGCACTAAACCTGAATTGCCTCCATTTTGGGGTGGGAAGATGGGTGGAACAGGGTGACAACACACTCAGGGGCAGGAGATCAAAATGGTAGTTGCTATGTCAAATGAAATAAAATAGTTTTGAGTTTCTGTCCTTTGCCTGCTTTCCTCCCATCATACAATTCTCAAGATAAGCCACTGGTCCACTTAACATCTTTTTTATCATTGCATTCCCAGGAAGTCCACAGGGCTTCACTGCTAGTACTGCAATTTAATTATATGGTAGATTGCTTGGTTAAACTGCCAGACATTACCATTATCAGCCAAAAAGGACCTTGCATGGAAGTCTCTAGGCAGCAACATTTAGTTCCTGCCCTCAAATCAATGACTCTGGGATACTCCTCTGAAGTCAGAGGAATCACTTCTTTCATATCTCCTGCAGTTGGAGGTGGTTGTAAGTCTGCATTTCTGAGCTCAGAAGAAGGGGATTGTAGCAGGAGCCTTATTTTTGTAGCAAAACTTGTCCCAGCACCATTATAATATAGGAGTTAGGTGCACCTGTCCAAGGTTTGTAGAACTTGGGAAATATTAACTACTTGGTTTCATTGTGCAGTAAAGTCATGAAGAGTATTCATCTGCAGCTTCTTCCACCTTCTTCACTGTGGAGGAGAAAGCTCAAATTAACTATGCTTATTATGTGTTACTTTTATCTTCCAAGCTCATCTTCCTCTTTCAACATTTGAGGATGCTGCAAACTTATAGATTAAGAACATATGCTGAAGAACATAGTTTGCATATGGACAATAATGCATTATTGCTCTTCAAAACTTGCCTTCTTTCAGAGTAGTGAGGATGGAAAAGGAGGGACAGAGATCTCTATCTCTTTTTAAGTGTATGATTTACTTTGAATATCAGGTTCATTCAGAGAAAAGTTAAATGAGAAGGAAGGACTACATTGGATATTGCCAATATCTCAATGATTTCAAAGGTAATATATATCTTCACTGGACATATTGTTTTGGCAATAATGATAAGGAATGTTGGGACAATGCACCAGTGCATTATATCAATAACAGTACCAATTCATCAATAGGCAGCTGCAAATAAGAGAGAGGGAAGGAAGACATGAGATAGCATGTTATCGACGAAATTATCTAAAACCATAGTTCTGGCATTGGTTGGTTGGTTGTTTATTCTTAGATATGGGCAGAAATTTTGCAGCCCAGTTTCTTTAAAGAGCTTTCACTTAATTAATAATACTAGTTAGTGATACTTTAATAAATAACAGTTAAAGGATTTCCATGAGAAAAACATAGAGGTGGATTACTTATACATCATGCATGAAGTTTCGGATACATTGTGCATGCATGTACAGTGTGTATGCATATACTCTATACACAAAAGTATCTGTTTTAATTAATATTCAGCATCATTGGCAATATTTAAAATAGATCAGGATTTGGAAAGCAAAGTGATAATCTGATGAAATATTAATTAGAAATTATATCTTCAAATAATCAATATGACACCATTAGCTTTACAGCCAGTAATTTGCATGGTATTTGATCAATAGATCTAGTAATAAGGTTATATGAGAGTGTGGAATAGCAAATTTTATCACAACAGATTGCTGCAACCCTTGATCCTTAACAGGTTCTTCAACAGATAGACAAGTTGAATTTCTAGGGCTACCGTCTCTGAACTTTAATTAGAACAATTAGTAGCTTATCTTTCTCCTTGTCTTGCAAGGAAAATTCTAAGATAAACATTGACAGGTGTTTTAAAAATTAATATTCTGTTTCTTTTCCACCCCTTTTTGTTAGTGGCGGCACCTGACCTGTTGGACCCCAAATCTGCCACTCAGAACTCCAAGCCACGGCTGTCATTTTCTACCAAGCCCACTGTACTTGCTTCACGGGAGGAAAGTGATACAACTATTAATGTTATGAAATGGAAGACAGTATCAACCATTTTTCTAGTGGTGGTTTTGTATTTAATTATTGGAGCTACTGTATTCAAAGCCCTGGAGCAGCCACATGAAACCAGCCAGAGAACAACTATTGTGATCCAGAAGCAAATGTTTGTGTCACAGCATGCCTGTGTGAATGACACTGAACTTGAAGATCTAATTCAGGTAATTTCCTATACTGAAATGTGTTCTTGTCATAGATTTAAATAAAACAGTTTTGATGTTCCTATTCCTGCTGCAATGTGATAGAGCTGATATCTGGCACAATAATTTGACTTACGTTGTAATGTATAAAAAGCACTGCTAATCCCAATTTGGTTACTAGGCTTGCATTCAACATAATCTTTGCATTAAATGCTTATTTTGTGTTTCCTAAATTACTATTCATTGGCAGATGTAATCCAGTGTACTTTCGTTATATTGCAAACTGATTTACTTGGCAAAAAAACCAGAAAATATTATTTCTGGGCAAAAGTGAGGGGATTTTGATTTTTAACATCTCATTTTCTACTTGGATATTTATATTCATTCTATACTTCTTCTCTGCAATCACTACTACATGGAAAACCGTGCCAAATCATTATACTAAGAGTCCTATATATGTTATTTTAAAATACTCTTGCAAAGTTTACATTATGTTCTCATGTTGTGATTGGATTCATTATAGAAACTTACGCTTTTCTTATTTTCTAGAAACTTGTCCTCTGTTTCTACTAACCTGTCATCTTTTGCGATTACTGTATTCTGCTTGAAAATATACTATGTTGAGGACAAGGGCTCAGTTGTTCATTCATAGCAAGATAAGTTTTACTTCAGTGATGATGTTTCCTTGTATGATTGAACACATAACCATTATTCAGAACTTTTTCCAGAAAGATTTCTTGTCCCTGGTACACTGCTAATGCACTATTTAGACTAGAACAGAATACTTTATTGGCAAAGTATGATTAGACATATTCTGGTGCAAAAGCTCTCAGTGCCCATGCAAAACAACAGAGTGATCATCATAATAATGATACAGTAAGGGTAGTAAAGAAAATGGGGAGGAAAACAATAATACTACATCATACAATGTGGGCTCTATAGATATTTTCTCAACCTCTTTCTGACATAAATTATAACATTTGTCTTTACAATAAATTTAATAATAAATAAATAATAAATTTACTTATTAAATAAATCTATACATTATCTATCTATCTGTCCATCCATCCATCCATCCATCCATCCATCCACACGCACACGCACACACACACACACACACGTTATTATAAAATGACATAAATAAAGCATAATTTATGCATTATGCTTCAGCAAAATTGGAGATAGCTATTTCAAAATGGGGCATAATTGGCTGAATCAATCACACAAGTTCAAAACATTTCTGAAATTTATATTGTGAAGAGAAAAATAGACTGTTGAAGCATCCATCTGTGATGAATAGAGGCTTCCTTTCCCTTCCTGCTAGAAAATGTCTCTAAGCAAAAGATACATCTAAACATTCCCAAATTAAAGCCACGTCAGTCCACATTCCATAATGTTTTTTTTAATAACTTCACCTTATGTGGATAACTGGTCATCCATGATCCTGATTGATCACTTTGAATTTTTCTGACACAGGTAAAACTACTCCCACAACATAGTTGTGCCCTCTGGGACAAGATTCCCCCTGAGATGTGGATAGATCTGATAACCCCTTACTTCATTTGGCTTGCCATCTTTATATTTTATTGATATTACTTTAATTTATTTGATTGTTGTGAGCCACCCACAGCTGTTCAAGATTGGGCAGCAAGCAAGTTTAATAAATATTATGTACCCAACAATGTGAAGTCACAGCTGCAGTCCTTAGTTGTATAAGGACTGTATAAGCATTGATTCTTCTCAAGAATTTAGGATGTGGTAATGTATCAGCATAATATATCCAAGCAGTGGGGCCTTTTTAAATTGACGATGGAAATTTTGTTCATGTGCAGATCTAAGGGTTTTTTTGTGTGTAGCACCTATTGTGTCACCACAGGACCACACAGGATCAACTGTCTAGTGTATTTGCCATAATCTTTCAACTTTGATTTTCAAAGTTTGATACTTTGTAATCCTTTCCAATTCTTTGTCTTCTATCATACCATATCCTGGTTTTACCACATCAATTATCCACACTCCCCCCACAAACACAGTTAAATTAGGTGTGCTATGTGCCAAGATTATCAGTTTGTATTTGGAAAGCCGACAGTATTTTAACTTTTGTTCACTGTTTCAACTCTATGTTCCTATCATTTTTTTGTTACTGGCACATTATGATTTTTATAGATGTTCCAGTAAATCATTTTGGCAACTGTGGCATTATCATTAATATTATTATGGGTGATCAGTCAGTCAGATGTTTAGACTGGATTTGGTATTTGATCAAGTCCTTCTCAAGGACCTGCGATCATCAGATGTTATTTGATGGTGTTAAAGATATCTTTGCATAATGTAAACTGCTCCAAGTGAAGCTGCATTTTGCAATTGAATAGTAGGGATTTGTCAGTGCTGATGGTATTCATGTAGTGAGTGCTCCAAATAATTTGGGATTGTACCCAATACACCTATTACTATCAGTATTATCTTTGCTTTCTTTTGCCATTGTCAGTCTACTTCTATTTTTTCTCTTCTGTTCTGCTGTACTGCCACATTGGTTAGCCAGACTTTATTTTTTGCTTTCTTGGGGTGTTGTGAGGCAGGTGCTTGTCTGTTTGTATTCTAAGTCCCAGTCTTAGCACTTTATTTCCTATTAGTTTTTTTATTTTGTGATCCCGCCAGTTCTTGCTTCAAAATAATGGTATTTCTTCCAGGTATGAAAGAAATGCACGATTGTTGCTACTTTGTCAGGTCTTTGTGGTCAATCTGTGCCAGGGATCGCCAACCTTTTGGACCTCAGGGACCACCAAACTCATAATTTTAGATCTCAGGGATCACTAACTGGTTCTGTGGGTGTGGCCTAATTTGTGGGTGTGGCTTGGTGGTCATGTGACTGGCTGGGCAAGGCTTGTATGTAAATATTATAAATATTTATATAAATATTGAATTTTTTTATAAAAAAGAGCAACTTTTACCCAAAATCAGGCAAAGCAGGTAGGCAGATTGAGTTGCTCACAGAATCACACATTCATTCAGAAATCTATCTATCTGCCATTGGCTAGCTCAGTCTGTCACATAAAATTTGCTTGCAAGCAAACTCACAAAATTAACTCACGACACACCATGCATGTAAATATTGATTTTTTTATTTAAAAAAGAGCAACTTTTACCCAAAATCATGCAAAGCAGGCAGGCAGATTGAGTTGCTCACAGAATCACAGATTCATTCAGAAATCTATCTATCTGCCATTGGCTAGCTCAGTCTGTCACATAAAATTTGCTTGCAAGCACTCACAAAATTAACTCACGACACACCATGCATGTAAATATTGAATTTTTTATTAAAAAAGCAACTTTTATCCAAAATCAGGTAAAGCAGGCAGATTGAGTTGCTCACAGAATCATTCAGTGATCTATCTAGCTGCCATCGGCTAGCTCAGTCTCTCAAATTTGCTTGCCGTGAGTCTGCATTGAATTTGCTTGCAAGCAAACCTTCAGTCCTAAGGGAGGTTCGGCTGTGCTTAGCTAGAAAGCAAGAAATCCAACCATTTCCTGCTTCCTAGGTAATCTAAGTGTCCCAGCACAGCAGAACAGATGATGGTCGGAAAAAGAAAAAATAGCAACTTAGCAGACAAGTTTGCCGGGTAAGGAGTGAGTGGGCGGGGAGGGTTACCACAGGCCATGTGGGCTGAGCAGCCTTGTGTTTCTGTGCAGCCTGGATTAATTGCTTTGGGGGTGTGTGCTCTGGGGGCGAGATTTCTCTGTGGCCCACCAAAATTTTATCACAGCCCATCAGTGGGCCGCAGCCCACCGGTTGGCAACCGCTGATCTATGCTATCTTCTTGCAATGGCTAACTAATGTGATCCACAGTCTCTTCAGCTTTTTTTTTTTTTTGCAAAGGCGTCTTTAGCTGTCTATTGCTGTCTTTTCATTTTGCATAGATGTGTTCTTAAGGCTTGGCCTTATGGAGCCACAATTAGCCCTTCTGCTTTGCCCAGTATTTTTGTTTTAATGCATTTGCCATATAATACTGTGCCTTGCCATTTCTCTTTCCTATTCTGCAGTTGGTCTTTCTTGTAGGTCAGTTGGGCCAGTTTGGTCTCTCCAATATTCACTAATCCTTCATGATATATTAGCTTCAATGCATCTTCTTCACTGTCCTTCACATATTCTCCCTATGCTCTTTTTTCTTGTTCAACTGTCTGGCTATATTTGCAACATTATAACATTATTGTTATATTATTATTATGGTTGATTGCATAGTCAGCCACATGTTTAGATTGGATTTGGCATTTTTATTCACTTATGAAATTGTTCCCAAGGTTCTTGGATTATAATATATTAATAATAATAAATTATGGTTTGTCAATTATTATTATAAACCCTGAGATTGTCATCTATTGGGGGTTGACATAATTACCTGTGAAATAAAAGCTACCCAGATATGCTAAAGGTAGTTTTGGAAATGTATATAAACTTTTATTTTTCCATTAAGGTTTGTGACTATTCGTCTATATATGTTATTCTATGGTTCTATATACTTCCAGTTTATTTATTTATTTTATTTATTTATTTGATTTGCCAATTGTTTACAAGATAATAAGTATAAATGTATACATAGTTGTGAATACATGAAATGGGTACATATAAGAAAAATAAAAGAATAAGAGAAACAATAGGACAGGGACGGTAGGCACGTTGGTGCACTTATGCACGCCCCCTACAGGCCTCTTAGGAAAGGGGTGAGGTCAATAGTAGACAGTCTAAGGTTATGTATAGTTATATTGCAATATACATTTTTAGATATGATATTTATTATGTTGCTGATTACATTAAATTTATCTTGCCTATTTATTTTCCCAAGGTATGAGAGTTGGGAATTTACACTCCCCAGAGTTGGTGTGGTTAAAATGCTTAAAAACCCTGTAAAATGAATTGGCAAATGAATGGATGTGTGTATGTTATCCAGGAACGCAGTGTCCACCTGTTTGATTCAAATAATGCTGCCCAGCTTAACTGCTCTGCTTCTTTTCATTGTAGGCAA